GTTTGTTTTAGTGTGGAAACTTCACTGAAACCCTGGATATGCTTGAGGGACACTGGCTGGGAACTGGTAGTGCAATGTTTAAGTACTTCATTGCTAACCAAATTGTTGGCAATGCAAAAACATCCAAAAAGTCCAAGAGGGAAAACACCTGGCAATCTTCTTCGATAAAGATTTCAACCTAGGAAACCTTGTGGAGCAGTTCTACTCAGTTCCAACAGGGTTGGTTGCTGCAAATCAGAATTAACTAGAAGGCAGATAACTATAATTGTTGTTCATTTCTGTATTCTTGTTCTATGTCATCAAGTTGGAACCAGCCAATACCTGACCCTTCAATGGGTTTTCAGAGGTGGTGAATTGCACAGGAGAATATTGCCCATCCTTCTCCCATAGAGCACCTGGTGAATTTGAGCCACATGCCTTCAGAATTGCAGCACAGCTTCTTACCACTAGGCCACCAAAGCTCCCTATTAACATTGTTAGGGTTTAATTTTCTGCTGACCAGACATGAACATAAGATTCTGGTCATGGTAGGCACTCAAGGTGGAACTGACCAGTTGCCCTTGAGTCAGTCTGAACTCATGGCAATATGATGACCAGTTGTGTAATCTATTGTGTTCTCAATCGCTGATATTTAAGAAATAGCTCAGCAGACGTTTCTTCTGAAACACTGGTAGAATTGGAACCATTGCCCTTTGATTCAAAACTAAGTACATTCTAAAGCATAGTTCTTTCTGGTTACATTCTCAGTTAATTGCTCCGTTACCTTTGCTATGCCATTCTATGGGTGGTTTTTTGTTGGTTGGGTTTTGGGATTTTTTTTTTCTTACTTGGTTATTTATTTGTAAAACAACAAACATGAATTAACTGAATTTAAAATATCTTCATTCTTCATGCACAGAAACCTCCTGTCAATGGAAAACAATGGTCTAGTTCCGACTGGATGTTAGATCCTCAAGAACTGGCAAGCAAATTTAATTCTAAAACCAAAGCTATTATACTAAATACTCCACATAACCCTCTTGGCAAGGTAAGTGAACTTTATATCTCTTTCTACAGTCATCTGATTTACCAGCTTATCTTTATTCTAATATGTTGCATAGTAACTGGCTCTCATTTGCTCCATTTAATAATGTCTAGGTGTATAGCAAAGAAGAACTCCAAGCAATTGCTGACCTTTGCATCAAACATGATACACTCTGTATCAGTGATGAAGTCTATGAATGGCTTGTATATACTGGAAATAAGCATTTTAAAATAGGTATGATCTTGAACACTTCTTTATGTGTTTGTTTGCCATCTGAATGTCTTCTTTGGTGAAGTGTCTGTTCATATCCTATGCCCATTTTGCAACTGGGTTGTTTACCTTTATCTTGCTGTGGTGCTTGAGTATATTACAAATTCTAGATAAAGTCCCTTATAAGATATGTCATTGCCAAATATTTTTCCCAGTCTGTAGCTTCCCTTTTTACCCTGTTGGAGAAGTTTTGGGATGTGCATAGGGATTTGATTCTTAGAAGGTCCCATTCATCTATTCTTTCCTCTCCTGGTTGTAGGTTTTTCAGGATCCTTGGAAGACTGTTCATACTGCAGATTAGGACTTTTAGAGTTCTTCCAAGCTTTTAAGTAATGTAATTTATAGTCCTTGATTTCAGTCCTAGGTCCTTGATCCACGTTGAGTTGATTTTTGTGTATGGAGTGAGGTGTGGATCTTGCTTGAGTTTTCTTCAGAGTTTTCCAATTTTGCCAATACCATTCTTTAAAAATGCTATCATTTCCCCACTTAACTGATTTTATCTCCTTGTCAAAAAATCAGTTGGCCATAGGTAGATGGGCTGATTTCTGGGTTCTCAATTCAATTGCATTGATCTATGTGCCTGTCATTGTACCAGTACCACACTGTCTTGACCACCATGGCAGTGTAGTAGGATTTTAAATCAGGGCGTGAGATGACTCTTACCTTGTTTCTCTTTTGAAGGAGTGCTTTGCTTGTTTAGGGCCTCTTTCCATTCCAAATAAAATTGGAGATTGCCTTTTCCATCTCACTGAAGAATGAAATTGGTATTTCTATTGGGATTGCATTGAGCGTGTAAATTGCCTTTGGTAGTACTGTCATTTTCACAATATTGAATCCTCCTATCCATGAGTGAGATATATTCTTCCATTTCTCCAGGTCTCTTTTTGTTTCTTGTAGTAATGTTTTGTAATTTTCTTTGAACAGATCCTTTGTTCTTCTGGTTAGATTTACTCCTAGTTCTAAGAGAGATACAAATCAAAACAATTATGAGATATCATCTTACCCCAGTAAGAATAGCAAAATTCAACAGAGCAGCAAACAACAAATGCAGGCGAGGTTGTGGAGAACCTGAAACCCTTATTCACTGTTGGTGGGAATGTAAAATGGAAGGCAGTATGGCGCTTTCTCAAAAAGTTGGAAATAGAAATATCATTTGACCCAGCAATTCCACTACTGGGAATATACCCTGAAGAAACCAGAACTGCCACCCAAGCAGATATATGCACGTCCATGTTTTTTGCAGTTTTGCTTACAATAGCAAAGAGTTGTAAACAACCCAAGTGCCCATCAACAAATGGATAGATAGAGAAGTTATGGTATATTCACACAATGGAATACTATCTGCATTGAAAAATAAAGAACTCATGAAATATTATACAAAATGGGTGACCCTGGAGGACATTATGCTGAGTGAAATATCTCAGTCACAAAAGGACACATACTGCATAGTGCCGCTGTTATAAAATGGGACTGACATCAAGGTTGGGGGGAACCTAATAAAAAAGGGGATAAATAATGTATACCTCATTGAAGCAGATGAGAGAGAGAACTGTTTAAAAGGAATATAGGATTAGGTATTATTTTCATGACAGGATTCCAGAAAAAGAAATAGTAAAGTGGACTGTGGACATGGGGCGGGGGGTAGGGGTGGGGCGGATTGTATAATGATGAAAAAAAATTTTTTTTCTTTTCAAAGAGAAAAATGAACTGGGGGCAGGGGTCTGAAGGGAGAAAAATGTGCAAAAATGATTGGGGGAAAATAAATGGAAAGAATATGCTGTAAAAATTTAAAAATAGGTATAAATAATTACATAATCATAAAATCTAACTGTGTGCATATGTAGAACTGAGTAGGAGTAATCTCAAAGTAACTTTAAAATAGTCTTTATGATAAGTCTTGGTCTCTGCTTTTATTCCTTTCTTTCGTCATGCCTTTCAACTACCAATCCTTTTTTGTTTACAACTTTTTCTTTCCAATTATCATGTGACTCCAATTATCATTTCTTATTAATGTACTTTGATTGGATCTTCTATTAATTTCAGGACACTGAAGTTGGTAGAAATCTTTACTTTTTTTCATATTTGGCTTTAATAGTTGTTGGATATAATTTGAATAATAGTGTTTGGTGCATTATTATTATGTGCCATCAAGTAGACTACAAGTACAACAGTGACTCATAAATGATCCTCTGTACAACAAATCAGAACCTTTGCAATCTTCATGTTCTGTATTTGAATAATATTGGTTGGTGAATATAGTTGAATGGTATTAATAGGTCTTCCTTATATTTTTGTGTAGATATCATCCTATGACAGACAACATTGTACTTCACAACAGAACTTGAAATATTCTCTTTGACAAAAATTGCCATATCATTCTTCAATTTATCCTTCCCAACATAGACTACCATGTGACTGACTGATTCATAATTGTCAGAAAAAGTCCATTCAAGCTCAATAATTTCTAGGTGTCTAGAATATGGATTGTTACATTGTTACATTGTTCCATTTCATTTTTTAAAAACATCCAGTTTTCATAGATTTATATTTAATACATTTTGTGTTCTAATTATTAATGAAAGTTGACAGCTGATTCTCCTCCTTTTGAATCATACCACATCAGCAAATGAAGTTCCTTCATTGAATTAAAGCTTTATTCTATCCATATCGGGACAATAGACTCTTCATTGAGGAAACAGCTCTTCCTCAGTCATATTTTTAGTATCTTCAAACCTGAGGAGTTCATCTTCCAGCATAATATTGAACAATACTCCATGGAATTTAATACAGTTTTTGACGGCCCATTATTTCAGAAGTCCTGCTTCTTAGTCCACCTTAGTCTGGAAGCTCCACTGAAACCTGTTAGCCTGCTGGTATTTTAAATACCTGGAGCATCACTCCAGAATCCAGCAACATGCAAGCCAGCCCCATACAGCAAACTGACAGATGAGTGATAGAAGTTAGTACTAATCTTTCTAAAAGATTATTTTGAGGGATCTTGAAGGTTATTGCTTACCACTTTGGAGGGTAAACTCTGTATTTGTGGTTTAAAAAAAATGTAGCTAACAGATATTTATTAAAAAGATGCAAAACAGATGAGGGAAAGAACAGATTAGAAGTGATATATGATTGAGTATTATGGTTAGCACAGGAATCCAGAATTAAGGGTGCATAGAGAAGTGTACTCAGGGTGGTGGGGGGAAGGGACGTGGGAATTGTATACTAATGAAGGAATTTTTTTCTTTTTTTTTTCTTCGTCTTTATTCTCTCTTCGGAGGGGGAAGCGAGCTGGTGGGGAGGGGTGGGAAGGGAGAAAATTGCGGCAATGAATGAATGGAAATCCAAAACCTCTGTTAAAAATAAATAAATAAAAAATTATAAAAAAATATGCAAAACACATTTTAACTCAGATTTTTACTTGTTAGCTTGTAAAGGTAAAATAAGAAAACAATTAATGTACTTTCATTATTTAGAGTGAAATTCATCTGTGTTAAAACTTGCAAATTCTATCAAATTTGTTGAAAGAAAAATGAAAATTGTGATCAACTCATTGCCATCAAGTCAGAACCAATTCACAGCTGACCCTCCATCAAGTTCTCAGGAGGCTGTAAACATGTAGGAGAAGATTGCCCATCTTTATGCTGCAGAGCTGCTGGTGAATCCCAGCCTTTAGAGAGGCACCGTCTTTGGTTTGGCAGTCCAACTCCTTGTGGACTAGACCTCCAGAGCTCCCTAAGAGTATAGAAGTAGCTCTTTAATATAGCAATACAATTTTGCTTTCCAGCTATTTATCATGAAATTACTATCACCTTCATGATGTCAGAGAGGCAGTTTTCCTGGCTTACTGCTGCTGTGTTATGTCTTCAATCTTTATCTGACTCCAGCTTCAGGCCAAGATACCTGTGAATAATAGTTATAGCTACTTTGACTGCTTTAAGTATCACAAACTATAAATAGGAGATTTGAAGACTTATTTGTGTTTTAGATGTAACTAAAGTCTCAACTTATGCATTTGTTTTGGAAATGTCTTTAGATCTCTTCCATTTTCACAGACCCTTTACTTGCTTATGTGCATGCTACGAAGTTAGTTGTTGTGGTTAGTCGTGCCATCAAATGGGCTCATAGTGACCCTATATACAACAGAATAATTCCTTGCCTGATCCTGCGGCACCACACAATCTTTGCTGTCCTCAAGCCCATTGTTGCAGCCATGATGTCAATCTGTCTTGTTGAGGGTCTTTGTTTTTTTTGCTGACCCTCAACTTTTCCAAGCATGATATTCTTTTGCAGACATTGGCCCCTCTTGATAACATGCCGAAAATTGCTTCTAAGGAACTTTCTGGCTTTATTGAATAAAACCAAACCTGTTGCTGTCTGGTTAGTTCTGGTTAATAGTGACCCATGCTGTTGTTGTTGTTGTTAAATGCCACTGAGTTGAGTATGAGTCATAGCAACCCTGTGAACAAAAATCTAAACCCTGTCCTATCCTGTGGCAGCCTCTTCATCCCTGACACACTTGAACTTCTTACTGCAGTCACTGTGTCCATCTATCCCATGGGCAGGGTGGGGGAGTTTCTTCCTCTCTTTTGCTGACCTTCCATCTTTCCTAGTATGATGTCCCTTCCCAAGAAATAGCCTCTTCTGGCAACATGCCCAAAGTATGTGAAATGAGAGTCTCCATTTTTTTCCTGGCCCTCAACTTTTTCAAGCATAATATTATTTTTCAGCTATTAGCCCATCCTGGTAGATTTTCTAAAGTTTGTGAGATGTGGTCTCACCATCCCTCCCTCCAAGGATGCACTCTGGTAACACTTTTTCCAAGCCATACCTGTTTCTTCTTTTAACATTCCCTAGGATATTCAGTGCTCTTCTCCAACACCACAACTCAGAGACATCCAATTTTCTTCTGTCATCCCTGTTCATCATCCAGTTCTCAGATGCATAGCAAGGGATTGAAAAAAAAT